CGGACCCCGCTGAACACAGCTAGAGAAGCTCTGCGTGAAGCAGCCAAGACCCAGTGCCACCGAGAGTTAACAGTAAATAAATAAAATGAAATTGCATTAAAAAATCCCATTTGATACGATGTCAACCCCTTTACAAAACTCTGAGGAATAAATTTAACCAAGGAAGTGAAAGACCTATACACTGAAAACTACATAACATTGATAAAAGAAACTGATTATGGTTCAAAGAAATGGAAAAATATCTCATGATCTTAGATTTGAAGAATATTGTTAAAATGGCCATACTACCTAAAGCAAACTATAAATTTAATGTAATCCCTATGAAAATACCCATGACACTTTTCACAGAACTAGAACAAATAATCTTAAAATTTATACAGAACCACAAACACAAAAAACAACATTGGAAGCATAGTATTTCCAGACTTTGGACTACATTACAAAGCTACAGTGATCAAAACAGCATTGTACTGGCACAAAAACACACACATAGTTCAGTGGAAGAGAACAACCACACACATATGGCACACACACACTCCTATGGCAAAGCAGGTGAGAAAACACAGTGGAGAAAAGATAGTCTTTCCAGCGAGTGGTGTCAGGAAAGCTGGACAGCTATGTGTTAACAAGAGAAATTAGGACATTCCCTCACTCCATGTACAAAAGTAAACTCAAAATGGTTTAAAAACCTAATTATAAGATGCCATAAAACTCCTAGAAGGGAACACAGGCAAAACATCTTGGACATAAATCATAGAAATATTTTCTTAGATCAGTCTCCCAAGGCCAAAAAAAAGCAAAAATATACAAATGGGACCTAATCAAACTAAAGAACTTTTGAACAGCAAAGGGATTAATAAAATGAAAAGACAACATACAGAATGAGAGAAAATATTTGCAAATGATAGCTTAATTTCCAAAATATACAAACAACTCATACAATTCAATAACAAAAAACACCAAATAACCCAATTAAAAAATGGGCAGAAGATTTAGTCATTTCTCCAAAGAAGTCAAATAGATGGTCAATAGGCATATGAAAAGATGTTTAACATTATTAGAGAAATGCAAATCAAAACTACAAAGAGGTATCAGCTCATTGCAGTCAGAAAGGTTATCATCAAAAAGTGTAGAAATAATAAATGCAGGACAGGGTGTAAAGAAGAGGGAACCTTCCTACACTCTGGTGGGAATGTAAATTGGTACAACCACTATGGAAGACAGTATGGAAGTTTCTTAAAAAACTAAAAATAGAGCTTCCACATAATCCAACAATTCCACTTCCAGGCATATATAAGCAAAAGATGAACATTCTAAATCAGAAAAATACATGCTGCACAGCAGCACTATTTACAACAGCCAAAACACAGAAACAACCCAAATGCCCGTGAACAGACAACCGGCTTAAGAAGATGCGGTGCATACATACAATGGAATATTATTCTGCCATAAAAAAGAACGAAACACTGCCATCTGTAGCAGCAGTAGTGAATATTATACTAAGTGAAATAAGTTAGACAAAGACAAATATATCACTTTTAAGTGGAATCTAAAAAATAAAACAAAAAGTCTATACACAAACAGAAACAAACTCACAGATACAGAAAATAAGCTTATCAGGTTACTAAAAGGGAAAGGGGGAGGAGGGATAAATTAGGAGGATGAGATTAACAAATACAAACCTCTATACATAAAACAGGCTTCCCTGGTGGCTAGGATAGTAAAGAACCTGCCTGCAATGCAGGAGACCTGGGTTTGATCCGTGAGTTGGGAAGATCCCCTGGAGAAGGAAACGGCAACCCACTCCAGTATTCTTGCCTGGAGAATCCCATGAACAGAGGAGCCTGGCAGGTTACAGTCCATGGGGTCACAAAGAATTGACTAACACTTTCTTTCATACATAAAACAAGGATTTACTTTACATATAGCACAGTAAACATACATACAGCCAATATCCTATAATAATCTATAATGGAAAATAATATAAGTTATGGAAATATACATATTTCTATATGTGTATACATATATATATAAATATATAACTGAATCACTTTGGTATACACCTGAAATTAACATAATACTGTGTCAACCTCAATGAAACAAACAAAAAGCCATGAAACTGCAAAGAACTGGCAAGCTATTAGAAGTTACTTCCAGATACATAAACAGACCTCCAGAGGGAATATATATACTTCCCTCTTGGAAATGATAATACTGCATATATAAACCTGTTGATGAAAAATGAAACAATTGTCAATCTAAGAGAGAGGATTTTATTTGAGCCAACCTGAGGATTATAAACTGGAAAGTCCTTCAGAAAGCACTGAGGACGGTTTCATCTGTTAGGAGATGAAGGCACCATCACGTTCATTTTCAAAACAAAGGATCATATGTCAAAATAACATACTGACACTTTACATAAAGGTCATCAAAGATACAAAGTCTATATAAACATGTAGAAAGTGAGCAGTAAGTCACCACGACTCCTCAATGAGTTTGGAAAGAACGCTAATCTTTTAGGAAAGTCCATTGCTGCTGCTGCTGCTGCTAAGTCATTTCAGTCATGTCCAACTCTGTGCGACCCCATAGACAGCAGCCCACCAGGCTCCACCGTCCCTGGGATTCTCCAGGCAAGAACACTGGAGTGGGTTGCCATGTCCTTCTCCAATGCATGAAAGTGAAAAGTGAAAGTGAAGTCGCTCAGTCGTGTCCAACTCTTCAGGACCCCATGGACTGTAGCCCACCAGGCTCCTCTGTCCATGGGATTTTCCAGGCAAGAGTACTGGAGTGGGTTGCCATTTCCTTCTCCATTCCATTGCTAGAGGGGGTAAAAATAGTTGGCATTATAATAATATTATTGGCCATTATATATATTGGCATTATAATTAATGCCAGAAGGCATTCCCATTTTTGAGGAGGTCTGGTTAATGTATAATGCAGATGAACACTACACACTAAAGGGGGAGAGAGGAGGCCCAAAGGGACACAGGAGATAATTCTATGCTTAAATTTTTTCTTTCCTTCAGATATAAACTTCATCAAGCCTGATGCTTCAAACTGAGTCACTTTAATCTTTTCATTCCTCCCCGCTATACTTCTGCTGTTACTCGTCTCCTACTTGTAAAGTCATTTTTGCCTATTCAAATTCTTTTCAGCTTCTAAACCAACTCAGCTCTGGATTTCATCAAATTGGAGAGAATTAAAAACAAGATATGCCTAGACAAGATAAATACATAGGCCTGTCAGAATAGCTTCCAGCATGCTAAAACCCTGCCACTGGCAACAATTATAAAATTAAGACTATCCCTGAGGACACTCTCCAGGATAAAGCAGTCTTATCTCTTAGGAATTGTGACCTTTACTTCTAGGGTTTGGCCCCCCTACCCCAGAATCTCAACTGAAAGTCCACATCTTTACCAAGTCCCCTCTACCTTAACTGGGCTTAAATTTCAAGTGCTCCTAGCTTTGCAAAGCTACTATAATCTATTTTTAGGTGTTTATCCTCCCAACTGCTGTTTTCTGCTAAGTTTTTTTGAGTCTCGCTTTGTAGATGTGCAGTTCAGGAGATAGTTAAAAAGTGGAAAGTCAAAGTGTTAGTTGCTCAGTCCTGTCCAACTCCTTGTGACCCCATGGTTTGTCCACGGAATTCTCCAGGCAAGAGTACTGGAGTGGGTAGCCATTCACTTCTCCAGGGGATCTTCCCAACCCAGCGACTGAACCCAGGTCTCCTGCATTGCAGTCAGATTCTTTAACATCTGAGCTACCAGGGAAGCCCAAAGAGTGGAGAAGGGGATCTTTGTCTGCAAATTTGGGGGCTTATGTCTCAGAGGTTCTTTCCTCCCAGATTGTACCACTTGAGTTTCAACTACTTAGGCAACCCAAAATTCCTCTTTCTTTAACTCACTATGCTATAAGAAGATACTGTTTGAGATAAAATGCAAGAGTGCTAAAGGAAGGAAATAAAGTTAGAAGAGCAGATGTGAGTCATATCAGGAAAGTACTTGAATACAAAAACCTTGCACTTAAGCTTTTGGGGTTCAGCAACTATTTCATTCATAGTTCTTTTAAATAAAAATTTACTTAAAAAAAAAACACCTAATAAAATCCTAAGATACACTCAACTGTGTCACACACCAAATGTTAGGTATTTTGGAGACCTCCAAAGCATTAATTTGTGCTAAATTACAGAGACCTATAGAAAATAATTTTTCCATCCAGGTGAATACAGTTGATGTATCACTAATAAAGATTACAGCTTTGGACCTATCCTCTTTGGGTTCTGAACTGTGTATTACGCTCACAGAAAATCCTAGACAGAAATTCACTATTTAGCAAAGGAATCTACTCCTCTAAGTAATACTCTTGATTTAAGACTAAGATTTTAGATGGGCAAAGTGCTGAGTCCTGATTCCATCAGGACTAACTGTAATATAATTCGTGTTATACATTTTGCGGGCATCTTGTCATATATTTGTGATGAGAAATACAAGCTATCGTCAGATGTTATTAGTGATTCAACCCTTAGAGAACTCTCCACTTGCCTACTTTTGAGCTTTCGGTTCAGTTTAATTGAAAAGTATCAGGCTGTAACCTGAGAAAGTTCAAAACGCAACCATCCATGAAACCAAGTTTCAATCTTGTACCCTAAAGCAAAATACTGAAATAAAATGATGAAGACTGCACCTTCACCTAATTCCAATTTCAAATCCGAAATTCTTATAATTTGAAAATCTCTCTTAGCAGACATCCCGTGTACAACTCTATTTGCAATAAGGAGTGTCAAGATTTTTTAAGTTTGAAAAAATAATTGCCTTAACGAGGGAGAGCCACAGGTGTGATCTCATGAAATGTTTTAGAAACAGAGAACGCAGAGAGACACCCAAGGCTGAAAAGGAGTTACGGCGCAGGGGTAGTAGGCGGCGAGAAACGCGGAAAGTGGGGGCAAATACGCTCCGACTCTGAGGGCAAGGAGACGACAAACGCTAGCCAGGGGGACTGACCCTGAATTCTCGACCCCCACATGGCGGCATCCATAGGCAAGGCTGGGTTCCTAGAACCCCGGCTCTCGCGGACACTTCATCCTCCCTCTGACAGGCGAAACTCTCCGCTCGCCTCTGGTAAAGTACAGGAATAAAGATCGACGCCACAACCGCTTAAGGAGGCTTACTAATTTCTTTCAGGAACGCCCGCCACGCGAAGTTTCTAAAAGCAGTTTCGACGCAAAACGGTCGCGTAGACCCCGCCCCTTTCCCGTCGTGCTCTGCGGCCGAGCTTGCGCAGTGCATCCGGCCAGGCTCAGCCCCTTGAAAAGTAGACCTTGGCCCTGGAAAGCTGGTGGGGGTGGGGGCGGCAGGCGGGGCGTTTAGGTTTCCTGAATTTGAGTGATGGCTCTATAAGTAGTTTGTGTAAATCCTAGTGTCTTCGTCCTAGACATCCGCTTGCAATGCAGGAGACCCCGGTTCGATTCTTGGTTCTGGAAGATACCCTGGAGAAGGGATAGGCTACCCACTCCAGTATTCTTGGGCTTCCCTGTAGCTCAGCTGGTAAAGAATCCGCCTGCAATGCGAGAGACCTGGGTTTGATCCTTGAGTTGGGAATATCCCCTGGAGAAGGGAAAGGCTACCAACACCAGTATTCTGGCCTAGAGAATTCCATGGTCGCAAAGAGTCGGACGCGACTTTAACTTTCACTTTCGTCCTAGAAGCCGGGATAATTTTAGTGTTCGCATCGTAAACTTGTGAAGATCAGCAAGGCGATGGTACTTAGTAAAAATACCAGCTACCAAATACATTCCTGGTAAAAGGAATTATCCCCAGAGATAAGAGAGGGTTTTCAGGTTTCTTCCGTTTTGAGGAGCCAATAGTATGTTAGCATTAATTTCAAAACGGTGTGGCAAAAATCATGGCTATTTTAAGTGCTACTTAAAAAATTAAATTTCAACCCTAAAATAGTATAGAATCAAACACTTGTGCTGTTTCTCAAGTCATACTAGGATTATAAAAGATTTATAAAGTTCAATGGTGAATTTACTGCAATCCTGTCTTGGAACATGCTTCCTGAGATGGTATCAAACGGCTAAACATGAGGCCCTTTGCAAATGTGACGTCCAGGTCAAAACGGACTCCTCTGCTGCGTTGGTCCATAAATATATACTCTACAGCTAAACTCACTAGAATACTAGACTGGTAACTAAAGTTTCTCCAACAGTTACTCTTGCCTTCCTAATGCATTTACATAGTAATCAGGTATACCATTTTATTACTCTGTTCCCTTTGTTCCCCTTTCCTGCCTTATTTGACTAATTCGAACATTTTTTAGTGTTGCATTTTATCAATTGCGTTTATGACATATCTCTTTTTTTTTTTAAGGGTAAAATAATGTTCACTTTATTAAAAATATAATCCAGCAATGGAAGCAAAGACAATCATGGTCACTTGTCCACCCTAGTCACACAGGGGAGGTGGCAGGGCTGTTTTCAGGACCCTCGCCGCCTCCGACATCTCTACAGTAATCCTCAGTTTTGTCAGAAATTTTGTCACTGGGGAGACAGGGCCACCAAGGAGCTTAACTTCCTGTTGCCTTTGCTCAAGTAAGCGCTCTGAGTCCTGTTTTCCAGTTGTCTTGTTTCCACACTCATGGCCCCCTTTCCTTTTCCCATCCCAATTCCTACATTTAATCACACACATCTCAGTGGGAACGAGAAGGCTTTATTACAAATGCAGTTGACTGCTTAGGACTCCCTCTGCAATTTTTCTTTTCTACTCTCTTTTTCTCAATACATCCCTCCAGGGCAGGTCAGTAGGCCATTAGGAAAGAGGAATACAGGGAGAATGAAAAGGAGAAATGCTCTCTCCAAAATCATCTGAAATAACCATCGAGTCCTCTTGGCTCCAGCTTGAGAATCTTCTGGTGGAAAAGGTGTGAGATTCAGAATTAGCTCTTATCTTCAAGGTCCTCCATATCTACATCCTGGGGGGGTTTTGTCTTCTTTTTTGATTTGGGCTGTGGGTTACTAGTCCTGGTTGGCTTGGGAGGGGCTTCCACTGAACAAAGGAAAAGAAGAAGCATTAAAGAACCCGAATGAGATCTTCCAGGTAAAGGCCCGCGCGTGGCTCCCGCTGCCTCCCGTCTCTCCCTTGGCCCCTCAGGAAGACAGAGTAATGTTGGCACGTGCACTGGACGCCCGCTTCTTGAGGTGGTGCCGCGTAATCAGTCCTTCGTCTATCACAGCTCCGACCACCCGATGCTTTAGTCGCTGCTCCCGGTTCAACACACGTCGTCGCTTGAACAGCTTCTTCTTCAGCTCCTGTGGGGAGGAAGATGCTTAATCAGAGGGCGGCCGCGCCCTGCGACCTGGGACCACTCACCCGGCGACACTGGCCCATAGACTCCATCTCTGGGGAGAATAAAGGCTCTAGGACGCTTGGGAAACCGTATCGGGGGGTCCCAGAGTCACCGTTCGCGGCCGGTTGATCTTTCCACCCGGGGCACCCATAGCTGCGCCCTATGACATATCTCTTTATGTATCTCTTTAATGATCACTTTGTGTTTACAGTAAACATAAGTAACTTTTCATAGCCTATTTAGAATCAATGTTTTACACTTCAAGTGGAATGTAGAAATATTATTACCATATAAATCCCTTTGTGCTGTTCCCACTATTTATGTTATAGTTGTCTCATGTATTAGAATTATAAACCCCATCAGTTAGTGTTATAATTTCTCTGTCACTTATCTTTTTTTTTTTTTTTGAAAAACAAAGCTTGAGTATATTACTTATCACAGCAAGGGAAAACATCTATTCCATTAAAGACTTGGCAGTGTCTCAGAGGGAAAAAGGTAAGGATAGAATTGATTAAAATAGGGTGTTTGTTTTAAAGTAGAGATTTCAGTGCGGAGGCTTGACTAGGATTGAGTAAGACTCATGACACAACAGTCCAAGAGTGGTGGAAGCAGCAAGCCAAGAATTGAGGTAAGAAATTCAGAGGATCTTAGGGTGCAAACTTTGTCAATGCTTTCCACTGAAGAGCTGGAGGGTCTTTTGGGAAATTCTTATGAAGGGTATTCAGTCACTCAGTTGTGTCCAACTCCTGCAATGCTTTGGACTGTAGCCCACCAGGCTCCACTGCCCATGCAACCCTCCAGGCAAGAATACTGGAGTGGGTTGTCATCCCCTCCTCAAGGGGATCTTCCCAACTCAGGGATTGAACCCATGTCTCCTGCATTGCAGATTGATTCTTTACCACTGAGGCATCAGAGAAGCCCTACTGGGTCTATGTCTATATTAATTTTTTTGCATGTGGATGACCAGTTGTTCCAGCACCATTTGTTGAAAAGAGTATCTTTTCTCCTTTGTCAAAGATTATTTTTTGTTGGTCTGTACTAGGACTGTATGTTGTTCCACTGATCTATTTGTCTCTTCTTTTGCCAATACCACACTGTTTTGACTGCTGTAGCTTTTATAGTAGGTTTTCAAGTTGGGTAGTGTCAGTCCTCTGACTTTGTTCTTCAACATGTATTGGCTATTCCAGGTCTTTTGACTTTCCATATAAACTTTAGGATCAGTCCGTTGATATCCACAAAATAATTTGTTGGGATTGTGATCGGGATTGCACTGAAGCTATAGATCATTGCGAGTGCTAATGTAAATAGTATTGTGTTTTTCATTTCAAACGGCACTTGATCATTGCAGGTATGTAGGAAAGTGACACTTTTGAATATTAACTTTGTTTCCTGGGGAAGTTCTTGGGATGAGCAATCAAACTGTTTGCCTGGGCAGGACAGTCCTTCAGCAAACTTGGGGACTTACATTCTTCTTCCTTACCAGTCCCTTTACCATCAGCAGCCTTTCTCTGGAGAAGGCAATGGCACCCCACTCCAGTACTCCCGCCCGGAAAATCCCATGGACGGAGGAGCCTGGTAGGCTGCAGTCCACGGGATCGCGAAGAGTCAGACACGACCGAGCGACTTCACTTTCACTTTTCACTTTTATGCATTGGAGAAGGAAATGGCAACCCACTCCAGTGTTCTTGCCTGGAGAATCCCAGGGATGGGGTCGCACAGAGTCAGACACGACTGAAGTGACTTAGCAGTAGCAGCAGTAGCAGGTAAGCTTACATGCCAATTTACAAGCAAGCTGCAAAAACGAGATAACTATAACTGAGGGACCTGCTTGCATGCTAAATCGGGTCGGTCTCTGTGCAACCCTATAGATTACAGCATGCCAGATTACTGGAGTGGGTTGCCATTCCTAGGGATCGAACCTGCGTTTCTTATGTTCCGCAGGCAGGTTCTCTACCACTAATGCCACATGGGAAGCCTATAACTAGCTGTCACCTATAAAATATTTTTAAAGAACTCAAAAAGAGAAGAAGAGTCTATTATGTTTACCCAAATATTTACCATTTCTGTTCTTCATTCTTGGATATTCCAGCTTCCTTCTCTCTGATGAGCTTCCTTTAGCAGGGCTGTTGGTAACAAATTCTTTTGGTTTTCCTTTTCTAATAATGTCTTTATTTTATACCCATGCCTGAAGGATATTTTCACTGGATATGGAAGTGTATTTCTTGATAAGTTAGGAGGAAAAAATCGTGGCAAAGTGTTGATTCCATCGAATGACCATCACTGACCTAATCACAATGCCCAGGAGACTGAGTACTCAGATTCCAGGCTAGGACATATAATGACAATTTTGACACCTTCCTTCCCCAATCATCCCCATTTGTGATATCCAACTCTTAAACTTTCAAATTATGTGAGCCAGTAGGTTTTCTTTTGTACTTAACCTATGTTGTCCTGGTTTTCTGTCTGTTGCAGCCCAAAGTCTTATCTTTTCATAAATGTACTCATGAGCAATTCCTAACAATAAATGTGTTTTAGTTTCTAGGTTAATAAAATGTGTCTCATGATAAAATAAAGCAGTTGAGCCTATAAGATGTGTAGGCTCCTGTTTCTAATGAATGACTCTTAGAAGTGAAAAATATCAGAACCTGTGAGACAAGCCTTACCTTTTGTGTAACAACTTTAACAGAACTCGAGCTGGAGAAGGAAATGGCAACCCACTCCAGTATTCTTGCCTGGAGAAGTCCATGGACAGAGGAGCCTGGCGGGCTGCAGTCCATGGGGTTACATGACTGAGCATGTGTGCACGAGGGAGGAGGGAGATGGGTTGGTAGCAATAAAGTGGTAGAACTGAAAAAAAAAAAAAAAAGAGAACTAGAGCAGTGAATGCACACTTCTGCTTCTGATAGAGAGGGGAAAAGTTCAACACTTGACTCAGTTGTATAATTCTCTCAGTTCTACCCTCTGTTTTTTTCTTTTTTTTTTTTAAGTTGAAATATAGTTGACTTACAATAGTATGTTAGTTTCAGGTATATTCCATAATGAAGCTCTGCCCTTTTTGATTGACTTTATTTTCAAGGTGGCCTCCTTCATGGCAGCAAGGTCATTACCAAGGAGTCTACTTCCTCATTCACAATCAGCAGGCCTATCTAGGATCTTGTGATGTTTTTGAACCAATTAGTTTGGTAAGGAGTCTAGGATACTATTACTGAATTATACCAATCAGGGACCACTCTTGGACTTGGGAGATAGTATCAGTCCCATTCAAAGCACATGGCTACCACACAGTGAGGAGGGTTGGGATAGAGGATTGCATAAGTAGCACGATTTCAAATAAATTTTAAAAAATGACTCACAGAAGATATGGAAAAATATGCTAAATGTAAAGAATAGTTGCCTTTGAGACAATGAGACTGATGATGGTTGATTTCTTTCTGCCTTACAGCTCAAAATATTTGTTTGTTTACTTATCTCCCTACCACTCCAAATATAACCTTGTATCACTTTTATAATGGGGGAAAAGTCTCATAAATTTGTTGGGGAAAAAAAAAATCAAGAGTCAAAGAATGATGCAAATAGTAGTGTGAGATTTCAACAGCTTGTTAGTATCCAGCTGACAGGCAATAAGTGGAACAATGTGCCCCAGGGAGGGTGAGATGAGTCATAATTCTGTTTGTCTCCTTAAAAAGCCCTTCTCCCTCCTCAGTGCTCTTCATACTAAAAAAGAGCATTTTTAAAGCCCCCTAGTACTTCACTGCTGGTACAATGGATAGAGATCCACTTGCAAATGCAGGGGACATGGGTTCAAGCCGTGCTTTGGGAAAATCCCACATGCCATAGAACAGTTACGTTTGTGAGCCACAACTACTGAAGCCTGTGTGCCTAGAGCTTGTACTCCACTACAAGAGAAGCGAATGCAATGAGAAGCCTGCGCGCTGCAACCAAGAGTCACCCCTGCTCCCTGCAACTAGAGAAAGCCAGTGCATACAACGAAAGCCCAGCACAACCAAAACTAAATAAATAATTAAAAGCACCCTAACTATGTGTCTCAGGAGAACTATTTGAAAGATAGATTGGATTTTCTTTGCTGGTTATCACACAAACTCAAAGGAAGCTCACTAACTCTTGCTCTGCATTTCTGACTGACATGTACTTTCTCTGTTTCTGAAACAGGGTATCTGCTCTTACAGCTCTTCTCCTAGTACTTAACATAAGAGTAGGCAAGGAGTAACTATGGCAATACTATCTTTGGGGTCAGACTGCCTATGTATAAATTCTGGTTCTCTTATTTACTAGTTGAATGACCTTGGACATTAACCTGTGTGAGCCTCAGTTTCCTCAAGTGTAAAATGGAAATGACAATAATACTTTCTTTATGGGATTCCTGAGAAGATCCAACTGGGATAATGTACATAAAGTATAATATTTTCCCTAAAGTAAGTACTGACTAAATATCAGTAATTATTATTTATTAACAAATATCTGTTGAGTGTTGTTTGTGTGACAGGCACTATACTCAGTTCAGTTCACTTCAGTCGCTCAGTCAGATTCGACTCTGCGACCACACGAACTGCAGCACTCCAGGCCTCCCTGTCCATCACCAATTCCCGGAGTCCACCCAAACTCATGTCCATTGAGTCAGTGATGCCCTCAACCATCTCATCCTCTGTCGTCCCCTTCTCCTGCCCTCAATCTTTCCCAGCATCAGTGTCTATTCAAATGAGTCAGCTCTTCACATCAGGTGGCCAAAGTATTGGAGTTGTAGCTTCAGCATCAGTCCTTGCAATGAACACCCAGGACTGATCTCCTTTAGGATGGACTGGTTGGATCTCCTTGCAGTCCAAGGGACTCTCAAGAGTCTTCTCCAACACCACAGTTCAAAAGCATCAATT